CTGATAAAATATGGCAGGATTTACAAACCCTCCACAAAAGGTTAAAGGCTACCTACTATAATCCCGAAACGCAAAGCTCTGCGGCTTCATTGAGGCCTCTGGTTGGCGTTGGCGTCGAGTTGGACTGCTTGGACTGCTTGGACTGTTTCGAAAGTCTCTTCTTGACCTTGCTGTTTTTGCATGGATCTAGGTTTATGGTGTAGGCTGGCTTTCGGATCTGTGAGTTTCTGCACGACCCTGCTTCTTGAGTAGAGGTTCAAGGTGTAAGGTTTGGGACTTGAGGTTTGTGAAGTGTTGTTTTGACCTGAACTTATGGCTTCTTTGGTGTAGGCTGCAGGTTTAAGGTTGAGGATTGGTTACGGTATGGGGTTCAGGATTGGTGTTTTCCTTCTTGAGCGGAGCTGGTGATTTCCTTGGTGTAGGTCTATTGTTGAGGTTCAGGATTGTTGCTGTTCTTCTTGACCTTAGTTTTCCGGATTCGTGTTGTTCTTCTGGCGCCGAGCTTCCGGCTTCTTTCGTAGCTTTAGGGTTTAGGGTTGGTAGTTTCTTCTTGACCTGAGCTCTTGTTTCTAAGGCTTCCGATTTCTACTATGTGCCTGTTGCAATTTCGGGCTCGTAATTCAGGTATCTCTTCTTAAACCACCCCAACCACCCCTAAACGCAGGTTTTTGGGCTACAGGTGGAGACTTTCCAGCCCGAGGGCAGCATGCACATGCGGACGCGCCATCTCGGGCCTTTTCTTCAAGCTGGCCATACGGTGTTGATGATATAAACCCTGCACTATCCATAATAAGGACTATTCCATGATTCCCATAATAAGGACTATTCCATAATTCCCATAATAAGGACTAATCCATAATTCCCATAATAAGGACTATTCCATAATTCCCATAGTTTTTAGGGTCCTTAAGGTAGTGTAGGATTCATATCATCAGCCCACAGCTCTTGAGCCTGAAGGCTTTGGGAGGGGTTTACGCTTCGCTATTTGTGTGTAACCCTAAAGCCTAAACCGCTACACGATGAACGCTAAACCCTAAAAGCCCCTAAGCCCAAAGCCCCTATGTGAATGTGTATGCATAGCATGGCGTTTGCTGTTCAATGAAAGCCAAAATTCTAACCAGCGCCGAGAGATCAAGTTTGCTCTTGGGCATCTACGCGATATTGTTCGGAACATCTGGCTTAAAGTTTAGGGTTTAAACCTCAAAGATTCATGGTTCATCATAAGGACCTAAGAAGGCCTATGTAAGGAAGTATAGTCCCCGACCCCCCTCCGCCCCTTACCCGCCTAAGCAACCCTGTGAATGGTTCAGGGTGTAGAGAAGGGAGTTTGACTGGCTTTTTACATAAATGGACGGATGCTCAGTCGAACCACGCTACCCGCGGTGTTGTGGTGCACTGGCTAATGTAGGAACCTGACTAAGAAACCTTGGGCCTTTATTAGGGTTCCTTGTAGTATGAATCCTACTATTTTGGGGTTATAGGCCCAGGGTTTCTTGATCAGGTTCCGACATTACCCGTCCGGCCCTCCCCATACCACACAAAAGTGGGAAAGTCTTTTTGTTGCACTCGCCGGCGCACCTCAGACTTTTCCAAAACCTTGGGCCAATGCCCAACCCAAGGCTTAACACCTTCAGCCCCACATGCCCAAGCCATAAACCCCACAACTCGAAACAGACCATAACCCCGAACCTCAAAATACAATAACAATCCTTAACGCCAACAGCCCGCATTTTCAAGAGAAAAATCACACACTGGAAAGAAGAGGCACGCACAAGGAATGCAAACACAATTAGGTTTGATGCTACTGAGTTTTCGCATATCTCTTCGTCCTAAAGCTTTTAGATGCTGGGACACAATAAACCCTCCAAACCCTAAACCCTGAACCCTAAACCCCTAAACCATCAACCCCTGAAGCCTAAACCCCTAAACCTCCAAACCCTAAACCCCTAAACCCCTAAAGCCCTAAACCCCCCAAAGCCCTGTATAGAACCCTCATAGATCCCTTTAAGGAACCCTTATAGATCCCTTTTAAGGAGCCCTAAACCCCCCAAAGCCCTTCAATCCCGGTCCAAGGAGCAGAATCTTCTTGATCGCTGGAATGGATGCGAGATGCTATCGGGCTGACCTCAGAGCATGTCCGTTTAGGGTTTAGGGTATAGGGTTTAGGGTTTAGGATTTAGGGCTTAGGGTTTAGGATTTAGGGTTTAGGGTTTAGGGTTAAAGACCTCAGAGGGGTTCCTTTCAAAGGGTCCGTTGGTGTTCTGAAAGGGATCCATAAGGGGTAGTATAAGGGTTACTATAAGGGGTTTAGTATTGAGCATGTCCTTAAGGAGGGTTCCAAAACTAACCCTGTTAAAGGAGCCCTAATTTTCATTACTAAGGCCCCTATATTGAGCCCTTATAGTAATCCTTATAGAACCCTTATGGACCCCTTCAAAAAGGAACCCTTCAAGGACCCCTTTGTAGGAGTTTGGGGTTTAGGGGTTCAGGGTTTAGGGGTTTAGGGTTCAGGGGTTTAATGTGAAGTGGGGGGCGGTTCAGGGCTGAGGGGTTTAGATCGCTCAAGGGTCTAGGGTTTGTTGCTTAGGGTTTTAGGGTTTAGGGCCTACTTGGAGGTTCATGGGTAGTTATAAGTAGCGCTATATGTCCCCTAATATGAGGTATATGAGGTATAGTTATAGTTGCCCTACTTATAACCCCACTTATAACTACCCATGAACCTCCAAGTAGAGGTATTAGCCTATCTGTTGGAGCTTGCTTGGGCTGTGAAAGGGTTTCATCTGTGTAGGGCCAGTTTAAGGACATGTTTTTTGGGATTCCAAAGTCGGTTTTGAACACTACAGGACCTGATGTCCAAACTCTATCTGTGGCACAAAATCTACCGTTTTGAGAAATCAATCAATACATACATCCAAGTGTGTGTCTATATGTGTCGAGAGAAACCATAATGAGGAGCCCTATTAAAAGGGTAGGTCTTTACGGCTATCAGTAAACCGTAAACACTGAACCCCGAACCCTAAACCCTGAAACCCCAAACCCTGAGCCCTGAACCCAAACCTCCGAAGCGACTGAAATCGTCTACACATCGAGGAGCTAGGATTTTGAGGGACCCTTGGGGATGTAGACCCTCTCAATAAATCAGGTCCCTTTTATGAGAGCCATAGGTGCGGTGACGAAGGGGTCTGCCTTATACACAGCCCTGGAGACTCCACCCTCCAGGGCGACATCAGGGTTCAGGGTTAGGGTTTAGGGTTTAGGGTTTAGGGTTAACGGTTTAGGGTATGAAACTATAACCAGTTGCATTTATACTCTGGTTCTTTCCGCTCCAAACAGACTTCATCTTCTGTGGGCTTAGAGTTTCGGGCTCAAGAGGTCGCTTAAGCTTTCAGCGTGGCCAATTGTCCAAGCTTCTCTTCGGAAAGTTGGATTGCGTGCTTGCGCAACTTGGCCAATTGTTTCGCTGTATGCTTGATCTCAACTGCAGCGAACCAAGAGCTGTCTCGTAGCTGCCGTCGCTGGGATTTGAGCGATGCAAGCCGCTGCTCCACGGTGGGGTCGTGCAATGCAAAGATGCAGCTTCCCAGAGCTTGTAACGGGGCCGAAACAAAGAAGACGCTAAAGGGTCCAGCCCCATTCGGGGGTTTAGGGGGTAAGTGGATTCAGTGTTTAAGGGCTTAAGTTAAGGCTTACTTGGAGCATCATGGGACTTAGTAAGGATATGAGTACCTTAATTGTGGTTATAAGTAGTTATAAGTATAGTTACCCTAATTATAACCCTAGTTACGGCCCAGAAGGAAATGGTCTCTAAGCATGGCCCTCGCGGTGGGGAAATCAGGTTCATGACTGGTGGAACTTGAGTTCATGGGACTCAAAGAAGGAAACTAGCCCAAACCTTGGTTTAGGGTTTAGGGCCGTTTAGGGTTTAAGTCAAAATACCGGAACAGCCAATTCTGGGAAACAGAACCATAATAAAGTCTAAACCTATGCTGGCACCCTAGACTCCACACCCAAACCCATCGAACGCAAACCACCGCAAACCTGAACTTCAAATCCCTCGCACGCCAGCTTTCAACAGCTGTCAATGCCTCAACAGAGCTTCTAGTTGGGCCGTACAGGGGTTCCAATACTATAGGGGCCTGAATAATTACCCATACTATTTTGTTGGCTGGGGTTCTTGTTGTAAGTATAGTAGACCCCCCAAACCCTCTTCTAATTCTTAAGGCCCTACATTATTATACACTATTTACGTTCAACATAAGCCTTCAGCTTAAGAGGCAAGGTGTCTGCTATATGGACACACATGGACTCCTACGTTGTGCCGAGCAGCGAAATCCACATGTTGATCCTTCTTAACCTGCGCATAAACGCAGGCTACTCGAAAAGGGGGCTGTGCCTTCTGCCAAAGACAGAGACACACAAACAATTCTACCAGACTGCACCCTTAATCATTAATCCCTAGACATGGACCCTGAACCCTAAACCCTGAACCCTAGACATAGAGCCTCTAGTCATAGCTTTTGTTGGGTGTAGTTCTGTTGTGGCTTGCGCCTTCATGGTCTATATGTGGCTTAGGGGGCTCAGAGCTGGCAGGCTCGTGGCGAAGCTTCAGGAGCAAGGGGCTCCAACTGTCACATTGCTTGGGATATCGGAGCTGTTTTGTAGGTCGAAATGAAGCAAACAGGATCGCAAGGGTCCAAGTGCAGAATAGCCCTACATCGGCTAACTACTATAACCCTAAACCCTGGAACAAAGCTGGATGGGCCGAAGTGGAAGGCTGCCTGGCGCCGTTGACACGTCCAAACACCCACAGCAGAGCAATCTACCCGACTACCTCTGACAGTTTAGTGCCTGTAGGTACCCCCTCAATGCATTCCGATGTAAGTTTGAGTATGAGGCATTGCACCTTTGGGAGGTCTTCATATGCTGAACCTAACCGAGAGTTTCTATATATCTGTCTGTCTGTCAGTAGCATGAATGCATGTATGCAGGTCTGTATATACGCATGCAAGATGTAACCGTAACCAAACGGAATCTTTCACACTCACGGGGACAGGGAGCGAGAGAAAGAGGGAGAGCGAGAGAGAGAGCAAGCAGCAGATCAACAGAGGCAAAGAAAGAACGAGAGAGAGAGAGAGAGAGAGAGAGAGAGACAGACAGAGAGAGAGAGAGAGAGAGAGAGAGCGAGAGACCCCTAAACCCTAAACCGTGAAAGACATGCGAACAGACAGGAAGACAAACAGACACAGAGAGAGGCAGAAAGAGACTCGCGACTTGTCAAGGCTTTACTGTAGCGGCCTCAAGAAATAGAATAGGGTTTTGGGACCCATTACACAGCAACTATGATAAGGAACCACCAAAACAGTACAGGTAGTTACTACGTCCTCTATATTAATGGATTCTATGGGTCCTGTGATGGCTGATGAGGCGAAACCGGATTTCGCAAAGCCCGGAACCCAAAAAGGTAAAGGACCTTTGACTCCAGCACCTTATCGTTGTCGAGCCCTTCCTAAACCTCTGGTCCGTAAAACAAAACAATTATTGTAAGGACGCAAAACGACCCTAAATCCCAAACAAATTCCTTTCCGGGTCGTGATGCTTCACTGAAAACCTAACCCCGAGATCCTAAACCCTAAACCCTCAAGCCTACACCCTGCCATAAACCCTAAACCCTAAACCCTCAAGCCTAAACCCTAAACTCTCAACCCTTCGACCCTGTAAACCCTAAACCCAAAACGGCCCCTAATTGCAACTCTTCGCCTCCTCGAAAGGAAAGGCCATGCGAGGAACTTCCAGGATCGCCTGCAGCATCTCGTCCTGGGAGATCTTGATGCTTGACAGTTTGTGTTTTCTAGAATTTTGAGGGGTGCTACAAGGGGTTTGGGGTTACTTTAAGGGCTCTAGGAGGGGTTAGACTTTAATTAACTGTTGCTCTAAGATCTTATGCTTCTGGTTGGTCCAGGGCTTAGGGTCTATCGCTTGGAGCCTGGACGTCTTTCCCTTTTAAAGGGCAGCTCTGAGGGTGCAGTTGAACGCTGTATGGGTGTGGTTTAGGGTTCAGGGGTTTACAGTTTAAGCTTTAGGGTTTCTTCTGATAAGGCTTACTCTAAGCGAACCCTAAACCCTAAACCCTTATATAAGCGTATCATAAAGGCCTAGAGTTCAGTTTTGCTTCAATATGCTGATGCGGCTTCATAGGGCTCCTCCAGCGGTTGCCACTTAGGGGTTCCTGTGAGAGTTTCCTTACTGGGGTCTGCAAGGGTTTCGGGCTTCAGGGCTTAACTGAGTTCAGGGGGATAGGGGTTGTTAAGGTTTAGGTGTTAAGGGCTGGGGTTCATTGCCCTGGTTGTAACCGTGAGCTTGGCGAACCCTGAATGCCAATGGCAGGCGAAGGTTTAAGTAGTAGTAGGGTACTATATTAGGGTCCCCTATTTTCAGAAACTCCCATATAATGGATATCAGGGGTCTGAGGTGTATTTAGGGCTTCGGGTGCGTACTTGGAGGATCATGGGACTCAGTAAGTCAGGTCGCAAGTACCTCAATAATTGGGGCTGTAAAAAAATTTGAATCATAGATGCCGAATTTATAACTCAAGTTACTGCAGTACGTCTCGTGATTTGTTAAGCAAGGGTGGGCGCTACAAAGCCTCACCTGTAGCTGGCAGGCTACATCTGTGAAGTAGCCTGCTATCACATTCATCGGTAGCTTTGCAGTAAACGTCTTCGACAGGGTCTAGGTTTCCGGTTTTGGGCTTAGGCTTCCAACATATGTCTCTACTCTATATTGCGCTCTCGCGTGAGACTATGCGTAACAGGCCAACCATTGATAGGAATTCAAGCTGATCCACCAAAGAAGTATGCACAGGCAGGGTAAGGCCATAACTTGGCCTTCGCTGCAAAGTGATGCGAGCTTTGTTGAATTGGAGGTCAAACCCTTATCCCAACTCCTGGAGTTCTGAATCCTAAGCCCGACCTGGACTAAAGCTGTACCTTTGGGACGGTATCGGGATAATACCGCAACTTAGCGTGTAAGTAGCCTGGCAAAAACAAGGTTAACCTTTTCAATTCTGGTAGGGTAGGATTATATTGACCCAAGACGTTAAAGGTTACCTACTCAGCTACTATACGACCAAAAGGTGGTTACCTAAACCCCAAAACCCACTGCGGCTCGCCTGGTTGGCTAAACGTTCAAGAAGCTCCTCGTGCTGACGCCTGGGCCACCATGGAACCCTTTCTCTGGGCTGATATACTTGGAGGCTCATGGGTAGTTATAAGGGTTCCTTTAAGGGTCCCTTTAAAGGGATCTATAGGGATCCTATAAGGGTATAGGGTTTAGGGTTCATGGGTAGTTATAAGTAGGGTTATAAGTACCCTAATATGAGTTACAAGTATAGTTGCCCTACTTAGAACCCTACTTATCACTACCCCTGAACCTCCAAGTAGACCCTAAACCCTATACCCTTATAGAATCGCTATAGATCCCTTTAAAGGGACCCTTAAAGGAACCCTTATAACTACCCCTGAACCTCCAAGTAAGGGCCTCAGGAATTGGAATAGACCTCCTCTCAGGGTTCGTTTCACGGGCTCTATGAGGGATACAACACGGGTTCTGTAATATAGGAGCCTGCACAATGAGAATAGGGTCTTGGGGCATGTTGTGGTATGTATAGTATAGGTACACTTCCGAAACTTGAGGAACAGAAGTGTTAATTTTCAAGGCTGGTTCATCATCCATAGGGAACCTACAGACCCTTTGTTCAAAGATCTTGGGCTTTCAGGGGTAATTGCTGCATACTTAGCGTGCTTTCTGCACGAAACTTTCTTCCTGCAGGCCTTGAGCCCCAGGAGTTGGAAGTCTACCCCAAAACCCTACACCCAAAGGGTCCAAGTCTCACTGTGGTAAATATCCCAAACTACCCTGTATACCATAATGATACTTGGACCCTTTGGGAAACCACATCTAAACCCTAGCAACTTGGGCATTTATCTGCTGCAAGAATGTCTCTACCCCATGATCACCCTCTGGCGCCGGGTGGCTCCAACAAGGCGCTTGTCTTGTCCTGGGATGCTGCTTGGAGGTTCATGGGTGGGTTAGAAGTCCCCTAGTATGAGTTATAAGTATACCTACCCTACTTATACCCCCACTTATCACTACCCCTGAACCTCCAAGTAGACCCTAAACCCTATACCCTTATAGAATCCCTATAGATCCCTTTAAAGGGGCCCTTAAAGGAACCCTTATAACTACCCATGAACCTCCAAGTGGAGAGTCAGACAAGGGGGTTTAGGTCACCGGGCTTCGCGTTTGGAGCTGAGGCTTCGAACGGTGTACACCAAGGGTCCAACTGTTGATGATATAAATCCTGCATTACCTTAAGGACCCTAAACTATGGGAATGGTGGTATATTCATTATTATGGGTCATGCAGGATTTATATCATCAACCGAAGTACCCAGTAATCATATACTCCCCAAAACCCTAACCTACATAATAACTAATTACTATCCTAAACCCTTAACCGTGTCCCTTGGACCCTTGGGGCAGTTTAGGGATGAGGGTTTAGCGTAGATCGGACCTTTCGTATCGGATCCCCAAGCTAGCTATTTGATACGCCCCCGATAGACTCGCAAACCCCCTCAACCCTACCCCATAAAACTCTAAGCCCTACTTAAAGGATCATGGGACTTACTAACTAGGGCTATAATTAGGGCAACTATACTTATAACTACCTATAACCCCAATTAAGGTACTTATAACCTTACTTACTAAGTCCCATGATCCTCCAAGTAGCCCAAAGACTCGAAAGGCCTATCACCTTACACTCGAAAGCCCGAAGTCATCGAGCCTGTCAACTTCATGAGCCTCAAAGCCACCATAAACCCGGAAAGAACTGGAACAAGAATCTTGAAACCATAAACCCCGATGCCCCGATGGAAGCCAAACCTCGAACTCTGACTCGTGTAGCGTAAAGCTAAGCCTTCATAGCCACCCTTCATCGTCGAGCAAATCGTGTAAAACTTGCGGGTCTGAGTGGACTGGGTGGATGCGGACTAAGGGGTTTACACTTTATGGTTTAGGGTCTGGGGTTTATTCTTTCGGGCTTCGAGTTTAGGGCCAACAGTCAAAATCAATATCCCAAGAGTCCTAAAGCCCATGAGCTCAAGACTCAAGGTTGCTGGTAATGAGGGTCGTTAATGATTGGAATATGGTACTGCTTGTTTTATGGCGGGGCGGGGAGGGGGTGTTATACGGTTGATGGTATAAATCCTGCATTACCCAGAATAAGGGCTGCACCATAACTCCCATAGTTTAGGGTCCTTAAGGTAATGCTGGATTTCTATCATCAACCGTAGTACAAACGAGACAAGAAGCTCGAAGGGATGATTTCGGTGAATATTGGGAGTTTCCGACAATTAGGGCTACCTTACTTTGGGTCCCTTATAAAAAGGATCCTACTATTTAGGGTACTATATATTAGGGTCCCCTATTTTCGGAAACTCCCGTTTAGGCTTCTATAGACTCGGTCGGGATCAAGGCAAAGCCTGAAGCCCCGACATGTCCCAATCACCCAAGTCTTAAGGCTTGGTTTCTGCTGCTGGGTTCTTGTTAAGGAATTTAGCCTAAGTTAGCGCGATAGCGATTTTTGACACAAAAAAAGGGGTCCTCATTATGGTAACTTGATAATAAGCTTCTTAACAAGAACCCAAATTCGCAAGTTCTGGGGAAGATCAGTCTGGCTCCGGGTGCAAGCGGTAGGGTCTGGAAAATGGGGCCCCTGAATCATTGAAACCCCTAAACCCAAATCATGAAACCCCGGAGGCTAGATCCCTGAACCCTTTATGGAAGCCCATCCCCGAAACTAGGCTTTTTATTTAAAACCCGAATATGGAGTGTATAGGGATACTACAAACATGTAGGGTTGGGCAGGCCAAAGTAGTCTCTTCTAGTAGCCCTTAAGCCCAGGGATGCTCCAAACCCAAACCCTACGAAAGACAAGCCTCCATGCTTTCTCCCGGAACGGGGCTGGTAGTGTCGGAGGCTTTCGGTGGCAGCACTGCCGGACAATCCAGAGAAGAAAAGCCTTGACAGGGTCTCACAGAAGAACAGCATACCATAGGGGCATTCATTTCATGTTCAGTGCTTGTTTCCGTTGTGAAGAAAAACAAAACTAACAGACATGGGGAAGGGGACATTTGCTTACTATTTAATCCGACCTCCGCAGAAAGCCGTTTGAGGCTTTAGAGCTTGGGGTCCATGCAGGCAGGATTTTGCTGCTACTTCCATAAGTACATACATACTGATCATGGCTTCCGTAAGCACCTACTCCAGTCACAGGGTCCGACGAAACTATCACTTACAGCCTTGAATCCAAAGGTCTGAGTTCTCCAAGGTACTTAGGACTGAGACCCTGAGATCCTTAACCCTCTAAACCCTAAGCCGCAACAAAACCGCAAGCCCGATAATCGACACTGTCCAGCCCTGAAAACGTGTGTTTCGCAGAATGAAGGTAAGCCCTAGAAGTGGAGAGCCTAAACACCAAATCCTAAACCCTAAGCTCTAAGATTAAATCGCGAACCCCAAACCCCAAGCCCTGATGTTAGGTAATGTATTGGTCTTAATAATTAGAACAGGGCTTTGCGCCGTTATGCTATAGTTACAATAGGGGACCCCCCAAAAAATAGTATAGGTAACTATTTAGGCCCCTATAGCATAGTGCGCTTATAGAACCCTTATAGTCACGTTTCTAAACCCCTTTTAAGGACCACTCTAGGCAATTGTTTAGGCTCCTATATTTAAAGTCTGGAAGTTGACAACTATTTCATGGTTGGGATAGGAATAAGCATGTACATTTTTATTCCTTATTGGCTTTAAGTACCCATAAACATGTCAAAAAGTTACCCAACTATGACAGAGACCAAACCCTGAAGCACACTGCCAGGGTTTTAACTCCAGGTTCCTTCCCATAACGCGGACACCCAAAAAGAGGGCTTTGGGGTGTTTGGGGTTTAGGGGTTTAGGGTTTAGGGTTTAAGGGTTTAGGGTTTCGGGGTTTAGGGTTTAAGGGTTTAAGGGTTCAGGGGTTTAGGGTTTACATAAGGGTACTGGAACGGTCTCGGACTTAGGGTATAAGGGCTTGCGCTTCAGTTAAGGGGTCCATAAGGATACTAGAAGGGTCCCGGACAGGATCTAGGGACCTGAACAACAACCTATACTATTTTAGGAAAAATTTATCCGGGTTCCTTAACATAATCATAACTGTATAATTTTCCCCCAAAACCCCAATCTCATTATCAAGGCTCCTACATTACCTCCTTAGGGCCTGCGTATCCCCCCAGAAAGGGTTAACCCTTTCAAGCATGGTAGGCTTCTACAAAACCCCAAAACATTAAAGGTTACCTATACTTGGAGGTTCATGGGTAGCTGTAAGTGGGGTTATAAGTCCCATAATATGAGTTATACGTATAATTCCCCTACTTATAACCTCACTTAGAACCACCCATGAACCTCCAAGTAAGTCCTCAACCCCAAACCCTTCCAGAATCCCTGCAGATCCCTGTAAAGAGACCCTGACAGGACCCTTACAACTCCCCATGCGCCTCCAAGTATACTCAGCTACTAAAGACTCCCGAACCGGTGCCAAGAGGCTTCCTTAAAGGAACCCTAAACCCTAAACCCCTCTGCTCCCAAACCCAGAGCCTAAACCCCAAACCCAGAAACCCTGAACCCCCCAAACCCTAAACCCCAAACCCAAAACCCTTACTTAAAGGATCATGGGACTTAGTAACTAGGGGTATATTTAGGGTAAGTATACTTCTAACTACTTATAACCCCAATTAAGGTACTTATAGCCTTACTGGCTAATTAAGACCCATGATCCTCCAAGTATACTCCCAAATCGATGCCACGGGGCTTCCCCCCGGCTTGATTTTCACGGAAGGACGCGGGACTTCCACAGGCTCCTCGTCAGCGCAGCGGAGGGGGGGGGGGGGGGGGGCGTTTCTAGGGCTCCTTTGACGGGCTCCTTCTAAGGGTTCCCTTTAAGGGTTCCTTCTAAGGGTTCCCTTTAAAGGTTCCTTCTAAGGGTTCCCTTTAAGGGTTCCTTTAAGGGTTCCCTTGGTTTAGGGTTTAGAATCAGCTCTATAATGGGTGATTAAGGCTTCTTTCGAGCCTCCTTGAGGGGCTCCTTTAGTTCAGGGTTTAGAGTCTATATAGGGTTTAGGGTTCTTTAGGGGCTCCTTTTAAGGGCCTTTGGTTTAGGGTTTAGGGTTTCAGCGTTCCTTAAAAGGGTCCTTTACAGGGTCCTTGAGGTACTGTAGGGCCCTTGCCTTGAAGGTTTTGGGCTTAGGCTTTCTTACTCTTCTACTTATTGCATTTCTAATTGCATTTGCCCTTGTAAACACCCTTATCTCACAGGCAACCATAGCAACCCTTCAGGAAAACGTATCTACCCACTGCGCAACCACATTCCACGCCTAATACGCCCGTACAATGCCCTTACGACATCCAAGGTAACAGTGATTATAGCACTTTCAAAACAGTGCTATACAATCCGACTTTTGAGGTCTTATCAGTTTTTCCTTGAGTTCGATCCCTATATTCAAAGCTTCACCCTTCACAAAGCTCCCCTAGAACGCCGCTCTGATGACCAAGGCCCCTTCACCACGACCCTATGCCCCAAACCCTAAAGCCCCAATAGCCGTCAACCACTAAAATGCAAACCCTGAACCTGAATTGTTCATGAAAGCCATGTTCTTTTTCAGCCTCTTGCACTGAACTCTAAACCGTCGACCCTACACCCTAAAGCCTGAATCCGAAACCCTAAACCCTAAACCCAAAATCCTAAACCCTAAAGCCTGAATCCGATATCCATGCGACCCTCGAGCCTACGACCCCCACATTTGTTTAAGAATTCGCCCTCCGAAATCAGACCAACGATCCCTGAACTCATGAACCCCACTTGGAGGTTCATGACGGTTAGGGTTTAGGGGTTTAGGGTTTAGGGTAAGTATGGGTAGTTATAAGTGGGGGGTAATAAGTCCGCTAATATGAGTTAGGAGTAGAATAACCCTACTTATGATCCCACTTATAACTACCCATGACCCTCCAAGCACAACCTAAACTCCTGAGAGAAAAGCTGCGTGGGGTTGCGCCCACAGCCGCACATCTGATCCCACAGCCAGCTTGCCGTGGACTTCCTCGATGTCCTCCACCAAGGTGTTGCCCAGCCGGCGCACCGTCTGGATCGTCCGTTCGGCGGCACCGTTCGTTTGGTGGTCGCCGGTGGGTGTGGTTTGGTTCTTCCACCTGTGCCAGTTCTCTTGGCTCTGACTGCCCGAGCCGGAGCCAGGCTGCACGCGTGCAGGATGGACGTTCCAGCAGGCCGTGAAACCGCGGCGGTCGAGGCGCTTCTCCGAATCGCCGCGTCCTCCGGCGGCTCCAAGCTTTGAAGAAAGCCGAGGGTCGACTCCCAGATAGCAGCGAAAGCCGGGAGGGGCGGTTCTGCTGCAGAAGACAGCAAACTCCACGAGCTGCAGATAGCTCTTCTGCTTCAGATGCGACTCGACGTTCTTGAGGATGCCGGCCCAAGTTTTAGAGTGTGCAGGCAGACTCAATTCGAAACCCTTCGAGCCTAAATCGCAAACCGCTGCTAGTAGCCTAATAGACCCCTTAATAATGTAGGGGTCTGACTAATTAGAATAGGGTTGTGGTGTCCAGTCTACTACATTTATGAAAAGGAACCCCAAACTAGCAGTGGTAAGTTATTCAGGCGCTATACTATAAGTACACCCTAAACCCTGATTCCTAGCCCATCCAACTCTGTCTCTTGCTCCCCTCGAAAAGGCGGCACCTCGCTTGAGATCATGAGGCAAAGCTCAAGCCATGGGAGTCGCGCGAGCTTCTTCCAGATTAAATAAAACCAGGGCTTTCGAGACTAGGTTGTTAGGGCTGAAGAAGTGCTAAACCCCAAAAACCCGAAACCCCAAACTATCATAAACGCTAAGCCCACGCTGTTAGGGCTGAAGCACTACTAAATCCTGAACCCCAAACCCTCATAAACGCTAAACCCCACACCCTAAAAGCCTCCAATCTACAAACACCAACTGAAGAGTTTGGGTGTTCTAAGCTCGGGGTCTAAAGGCTGCTGGGAAGGGGTCTTGATATAGAGTCCTGAATAGAATAGTAATGCAAGTAACTGCAGCAATAGTGATACCAATAGTAATCATAACAATGATGAGATCATACTTAGGAGCTCAAGGTTCAGGGGTTTGGGGTTTGGGGTGTATCAAGCTTTCGCATGCTTTTGCTCACATCCTGCATGTTTCTGGGGAGAACCTAGCCCTCCGGAGAGCGTCGCAGCCTGCAGGTGCCCTCTTAAAATGAACCCGGTCTATGCTTGAGCCTCCAAGGCAGCATGTGGCTCCCTCCTTGGGGTCCTTATGATAAGGATCCTACCGTTTCGAGCTGAGAACGTTAGGGTTTCGGCGGTGCTTCAAGGTTCGGGAAGTTAGGGAATGTGCTTCGCGGGGGGGCGGGCTTCTGCCTCTGCTCAGTGCAGGTCCCTAGTTGGTTTCCTTTCTTCTTACTCACGGATCTTGGCCCTAAATTCAAGCGAAAACATGGACTGAACTGGAAAAGTATCGGTGATCTGCCTGAATCAGGGTCTAGGGTTTCAGTGTCTCGGGTTTTAAAATCTAGGGTTGAGGGTGGAATCCGGGCTTTTAGGTTTAAGGCTTGCGAGTACAGGTTAACCTTAATTGACATTAAAGTAACATAATGATATTCTCCGCGAGTCTAGCAAAGCTCATTCAAAACCCACCAAGCATAGTCAGGCATGGCTGTACATGCCCAAGGCTACGCCCGTAATTTGCTGTCTTGCGACATATGTAGATAGATAGACAGATAGACAGACAAATAGTTATGTACCTATATGTATACACATACACAGCCATGTGTATACTTACATATACCGCTAGCGGCAAGAAAGAGAGCAACAGTAATAACG